CTTCTCATTAGATGGCCAACGTATTTGAGCTCCAGCTTCAGTATCTGTCCTTCCAAATAACAGTCAGGTTTGATTCTTTACGATTGACTGATTTGATCTCCTTGCAGTCCAAGGGACTCTCAAGAGCCTCCTCCAGCACCACAGTTCGAAAGCATCAATTCTTCGGGGCTCAGCCTTCCCCTTAGGGTCCAACTCTCACAGCCATACATTACCACTGAGAAACTGATAGCATTGACTATAACCAATGTGGCTGCCTTCCTGCAATCCATCGTAATGAATCATTTGCATAACCATGACTTCTTCCAGTTTGCAATAAAGCTTATATCAAACTGTGCTGAGGGAAGATTCTGCTGTGAGGTGGTTACTGAGCACAGAAGGAACCAAATGGCTAAAGGAAGCTGTGTCGGCATGAAGTCTAATAAATATAGGGATTTTGTTCTGTCTATATTATTATCAATTGCTATGCCTAAGCAATAGAAATTCTTCAAGATTGATACATTAAATAAAATACCCTGAAATGTAACCTGGCAAAGAGAGCATCAAATAATGTTCATTAACAGAAAATTTAAAAAAGGGAAATAACACTAAAAGCAAGANAGGAGAAGTTGTTATTTCAAGTTTTCTTGATAGAAGATTCAAGACACCATTGTTTAAAAAACACAACAGAATATTTAGCAGTATTTTATATTTTGGAAAGCAGTCATATTTAGTTTTCTCAATGCTCCAATTTTTTAAACTAGAACAGTGGTGGCGAACCTATGGCACGCGTGCCAGAGGCGGCACTCAGAGCCCTCTCTGTGGGCACGCGTGCCATGCCCCAGAGATGGCAACCATCCCTCTTCAATCAACCACCCGCTAACTCGCTGAGGTCCCACATGGCTGGATGCATCCCAGCATAGCTGGTTTCCCTTCCCCCCCGCCGTCCCATCCCTCCTGGCCTTGCATGCTCTCCTTTTCCTGGGCACGACCCACTGCATCACCTCCTCAGCTGTCAGCTGGCCATCCAGCTCAGAGGCGGCTTCTCTGAACTGCTGGTGGCGGGCTGCGGAGCCCCAGAGTGTGCCAGTCGAGGGGCTGGCAGGCTGTGGCTGCTGACGGACACTGTTGCCCTCCCATGTGCTTGCTGGCCTCTGTGTGCAGGGGCCAATAGTGTCAGGAAGCAGCCGCCCCGGCCCCTGCCTTGCCTTGCCCTGCGACAATGGCACCCCTGCCCTGCCTCGCCTTGTCTCACCCCACCCTGCAGGATGAGCCTCCTGCCCACTGCCCCATCTGCCAGAGACCCCCTGGATCTCCCCCAACCCTGCCCAGCCCTCACAGGCGTCCCTCCCCACGAGCAACATCAAGGTGACCACACCTACCTTGGCCACACCCACCCAGTCTGCCATGACCACCATAGCCACGCCCACCTGGCACCTGGAGATAAATAAGTGGGTTTGGGGTTGCAGTTTGGGCACTCAGTCTCTAAAAGGTTCGCCATCACTGAACTAGAATATGTACCAGAGAAGCCTCTGGTACATATTTAAAAAAAAATAAATCACAAGAACTACCTCATTTTACAGATTAGATCTTGTACTTTTTCATCTTAGATTTAAATTACAATACTGAAACCATAGCACAATTTTTATAGTTGAAAATTCAGAATCAAATTATCAAATGGGAAAGATATAGAGTTTTAAACTCCCAGCAGCATGCTAAAAAATTAAGGAAGATACACTTCAGATGACAATCTTAAACAAAATAAGAACAGGCAATGACTACAATCTGAGATAGTATCTGACTCCTTTCTGTCAGATCCTACCTCAGATTGCAGCCATTGTTTGTTTTCATTTTACTCTCCTTTTCAATAAACTACTGATGAGGGCCTCTGAATTAGCCTTCTCTTCTGGTTAGCAGTAATATATAAATTGCCCCCTCCTAGAAGAAAGTATTTTTCTCCTTTCAAACTAAAAGTTCTCCTGTAATATCACAAGGTATCTTGAGCCAAACGTTAAGGGAATATGAATGGGTAGGAATTTTTGAAGCATGCTGCCAAATTGCCAGGATAGCTACACTTCTGTCACTCAATAAAACTATTACAGAACATGAAGCATGAGAAAAATCATAAGTCTTACTATACATTATGAAGCAGGACTGCAGGCTTTCATTAGTAGATCAAACAACCCAAGCTTAATAAGCTTTGGGCAAGAAAATATGAAAGAGATTCAGTCCCACCGTCTTCAGGATTACATGTCTAGGATTTTATTAACCTGGCACTTTTTTGGGGTGGTAGACAAAGAGTCCTAGATCTATCAATTCCTCCTTAGTAGATTCTGTGTGTGTATCTTTGTAGAATTACACATCATAGATGCATGCATGCAAAAAGAAGAAAAGATGGAAGAAATAATGAGAAAACATTGGAGATTACAACTGGGAAACAATGATGTCTATATTCCCAGTAAGCACCATTGATATAGTAATGCAACCACTTCTACAGGATTAGCAGTAAATTCAAGCCTCCTACATGGAACCCATAATGCAAACTGTTTCTGTTCAGGACCACCATCCTTGATCCCATCTCTGCCTCATCTCAATTGTTTTCATTTTCTGGCTTTGAAAGGTCAGTGAACATACATACCAACAAATATGTCCAGTTATGATTGTAGGATGCCCAGAATTACCTTATTATAAGATGGGGGGGGCAATATATTCTATAAATAAATAAATTCTCATTGGGATACAGGTTGTCCTCGACTTACAATCACAATTGAGCCCAAAATTTCTATTGCTAAGTGAGACATTTGTTAAGTGAGTTTTGCCCTATTTTACGACGTTTCTTGCCACAGTTGTTAAGTGAATCACTGCAGCTGTGAAGCTAGTGACACGGTTGTTAAAGGAATTTGGTTTTCTAATTCACTTTGCTTGTCAGAAGATTGCAAAAGCTGATCACATGAATCTGGGACATTGCAACTGCTGTAAATATGAACCAATGGCCAAGCATCTGAATTTTGATCACGTTGACCATGGGGATGCTGCAGTGGTCATAAGTATGAAAAAAGGTAATAAATTACTTTTTTCAGTGCCATTATAAGGTTGAATGATCACTAAATGAATTGTTGTAAGTTGAGGACTACCTGTATGTTGAGTTTTCCCATAAGATTTCTTCCTCTTGTGTTTCTCCAAAATCTGGAGTTATCATAAACCCATTAATCTCCTGGATGACACTATTCTAGTTTTGTGTTGATTAGAACTTGGGGCACTATCAGCTTTTTCTTATTAATAAATATAATAATGATATATTTATTCATACATTATTCATACAATCATATTTTCTCTTCTCATTCCATAATGTTTATGAAAAAAAGCTAAAAATGTCTGAGTGTATATAAGTACATTCAGCAATCTCAGTCACTTCCATTAAGCAACTAAAATATCTACTTAAATCAATGGTCCTAGTTATAGTGCTTATAGATGACAAGATGATAAAATAATTCTGAAGCACTGCTGAACAATGAACTCTTTTGAACAAGACAGTTGTTTTCAAATTTGTTCTTTTAGCAATTTTTTTAACAAATGTACATTATAATGGGTTCTTTAATTAGGAAATCAAAAATGTCAGGCAAGCTCCCATGAAAAATATGAATAGTATCCACAAATACTCTCCTATATGGTCAAGTCAGTTCCCATGATGAACTGAACATGCCCTCAAAAAAAAAAAAAAAAAAGACCAGCATCCTGTGACAGAAGTTTGTGTATATGTATGTGCGTGTGTGCCTTCAAGTCAGTGTTGACTTCTGGTGACTGCCTGGACTGATCCCTGCAGTTTTCTTGGCAAGATTTAAGAAGTGGTTTCCCCATTGCTTTCTTCCTACGATTAAGAGAGAGTGACTAGCCCAAGGTCACCCAAAGTTAGCCTTGTGCCTAAGGCAGAACTAGAACTCACCGTCTCCTGATTTCTAGCCTGCCACCTTAAGCTATTACCCCAAACTGACTCTCATGACAGAGATGAACTGAGGTGGAAATGATCAAAACAAACAACAAACACCCTATAGTAATGGAGTAATTTTTTGGAATGTTATTGTTCATTCTTAACATCTTCTACAGATGTACCCTCTAACATAATGTCTTTACTTTATTAAGCAAAACTCAACATCTCTTCAAAGTTATCCTTGGGGAAAACAGGGATCAATCTGATAACCTTAAGTCTGCCATTTACTCGTCCATTCCATAAGAAATAGGGTGATTCTATCAAATCATTTCCAATATAAACAAACCCCAATAAAACCTATAATTATTGTGAAGAATATCAGAAGCCACTTCTTTGCGTCTCTATTCTTTCTTTTCTATTTTTCTCAACTTTTTTTCTTTTCTTACTTGTTTTGCTTTCTTTTTTTTCTTTCTTATTTTATATTAGTTTGGTTTTTAATCTTCTCTTTTAAATACACGAGCGCACGCACACACACTAAGCCAATAATTATAACCCAAGGCAACTTCTTTGATCTTATACTGAACTCTTTTCAGAGAAGGCTGGTTTATAGAAAATAATTTTCTATCCAGAAATCCTCACCTAGATCAGATTTCTACAAACTGAAAACTCAGCTGAGAATTAATGTCCATGCAGCACCTATTTCAGTAAAGTCCTAGCCTAGAGAATATGTTCATCTGAAGCTCATCCTATAGATTATTTTAACACCTGGTGAGCCAAGATTATTTTTTAAAAAAGATGGAGCAATATATGAATAGCTTTATATGAAATCACCACATACAGCTAAAGAAAACTATTATGGCAGCCTGCCACAATTCCTCTGAATATTTTGACCTACCTGGCTGAAGATGATGGGGTTCAACAGAACAAAATATCTCAAATTGTGGATGTTTTTACTACTACCTGCTTTTTTTTTTTTTAACATCTTGGAAAATTTCAGAAGTGGTAGCTTGTGGAAAACCAGTGTAATAAAGAGCATAATTTCAAAACTCATGCTTGAGTACTGCACCGTACAAGAATTAAAATGTATGAATATTACCTAGGCATATACAGGATGCGTTCTGCTACAACAAATCCCACCCTGAAGAAGAGGTTGCTAGCAGGCATGAAGGGGAAAATCAGGAACAACAGGCCAACTAGAATTTCTCTGTGTTCCAGTTTCTGCAACAAGAAACACACGTGAAAAAGAATTAGCCGAAATCAGGCAAGATCAGAGATCCAGTTCCGAGATTACAATAGTTGCGCTTATTCATATGCAAAAATCTGAACAACCACTAGATGGAAGCAAAGATTTTCTGAATCTAGAGGTGGCTCAATTTTTGCATCACAGACATGGTAGCCCAAAATACAGGCAGTCCTCAACTTATGACCAGTACTGAGATCAGAATTTCCATTGCTAAGCAAGCCAATGGTAATTGTTAAGCAACCCATGCCCAATCTTTTTCCTTTTTTCTTTCTTTTGTAAAGGTTGTTAAGCAATGTTAGTAAATCATGTCCTGGTTCAGTGAATTTAGCCTCCCCTATTGTCTTTGTTGTCAGAAACCAGCTGAGAAGGTCGCAAATGGCAATCACACTATCCCTGGAGACTGCAATTGTTGTAGATACATGCTGGTTACTAAGTGCCCAAATTTTGATCCCATGAATGTGAGGATGCCTCAACGGTCGTAATTGTGAAAACTGGTCATATGTCACTTTTTTCAGTGCTGTTGTAATTTCGAACGGTTGCTAAATAAATGGTTGTAAATCAAGGACTACCTTAGGCCTTACGTATATAAATATTTGTTTCTTGTAATTATTTCTTTAAAAATAACAATTTGAATCTAGTTTTATTTGGTTTGCTTTTATATAGTGCCGTATATAGTGTTTAAAACAGGAATTCTGAGATTTGAAGCACGACACAAGTGGACAGATTGACTACATACTTGTTATTTTGGATTTACAAGCATTACTGTACTTGGTGAAGGACAAAGCTAATTTTGGATGGAATTAGATATTTGTCTTCCTCCTCTTTTTAATGTTTGACATTTAGATCTGCATCACGACAGCATCAAACTGTAATGTTTAATATGTGGCCCTCTCTTATTTTGAATCTAGATACCAAATTCTGTGCAGAGTGATAGACTGAACCTGGAATAGCTCCATAGAAAGTACAGGGACTTTTCCTAATCACTCTAAGTCAGTGTTTCTCATCCTTGTCCATTTTAAGATGTACAGATTTCAAATCCCAGAATTCCCTAGCAGCATTTTCAATTCCTCGGAGCTAAAGTCCCAACAGTAGCCAACATTGAGAAAAGCTGTGTGAATGGCCTCTTCTTGCTATACCTCATCAATGCTATTGAAAGGAACTGATAAATTCAGCATGTCCAAATAACTAGGGAAAAGCAGGAAGGATTGGAATGGAAAAACAGGTGGCAGTATCATTTACAAGTTATGTTTGAATGATATTCTTCCTTATGTGATTCTCAAAGTCTTGTCTATGAAATCAAAGCAATTGTATTTTATCTAATTGTGTTGATTTTTCTTATCAACACAATTGGATTAAACACATAAAGTCCAATAGTGAGCAAATCTGAATTGTGGGGATAAATTGCCACAGTCAGAAGAATAAATTGAGTTTGGTTTGCATGTACTGGATTTTACATTTCTTTGATATTACATTTGCGTAATTTCACAGAAACCATCTACAAATAATAATAACAGTTTTCTCCTAAAAATTACCATCCTATTCATATGTCTATGGAGATTCCCAGTCATCTAGGTCATGGTTGTCCCAAAGATGCTTTTTCAAAAGGCAACTGGATTTTTTTTTCCTTGAAGGAAAAAACAAAGAAAAGTCCAGTTGCCTTTTGAAAAAGCATCTTTGGGCCATCTTATTCATAAAATAAAGACACTGGAAAAAATGCAATTGAATTGCCCTATGGAGAACTGAACTAGAATGTTTAGTTGCTGACTTAAAGATTATCATTGCTAAATTTGTTACTACCTGCCTTAACAGCAATCCAAAATTCATACTTTTCAGCTTAATAGACCTTCCTTGAGATTGTTGAAGCTTACTGTAATTGATTATTAGTTCAGCAACTTCTTACAATCAACCTTCTTCTTGTAACATTTAGGTTTTATCTTGAGAACTCCATTCTACCACTTATCCACAGGTTTCTATATTTGATGCCCAATAAAACTAAGATGTGACAGGCATCACTAAGCAGTTTGAAACTGAAACTGCACAGTGTTATTTTTATAAGCATTTTTCAGCCTACAGAGCATTTTATAGCCCTCAAATCCCCAGGATAAATTGTTCCGCACTTCATCATTGGTATCACAGATCTATTAAATATATGCATAAAAAAGCTTAGCTGCAACACAAATCTCCAGTCTAAATCTAGATATTAGACTAAGAAGTTGAAAGTTATCCTAGAAGAAAGCAACAACAAACAACTTCTGTGTTGTGACCGAAAATTGTTCGTGTAGTCACCAGTCATCACAAAAGATGGCTCCAACTAACCAACCTGGCTGATCTTCAAAAAGCTAAGCAGAGTCAGTCCTGGTTAGTATTTTAATAGGAAACCTGTAGTATTAAATTTTTACACTGGGAAATAATAATAATATTTTTCTTAAATGGAGAAAGGCAGTGGAAAAAATCCCCCTCTATTGTATTCTGACACTAAGAAAACTATGATTACACTTATGTTCAGATTCATTTATATTTAGGTTCATACAGGCTGACTATCTGTTGAGAAATACTTCGCTAAGTAAAGTCATTTTCAATCCTAATTTTTAATATAATCATTAGGGACTGAGTTGACTCAAGGGAATTTTTATGTTTTATACAACTCTACTGTATTTCCCCATCGATCCTACACCTGTTTTTCTTTTTCTATTGTTTCTTAGAATTTATTTTATTGCAATATTATAAAACTTTGTACATTGTATTATTTTAGTGCAGATTTCAATACAGTAATATGTATGTAATGATTAAAAATTATAACCTCTATTAATTAGAAAGCTTAAACTGCTGAAAAAAACCAAAGAAGTTCAAAATTTTTATTTAGTTTCGTCAATATTGCAAACATAACATTATTTAACTTTTCATCTCAAACTGAGCACAACATAGAAAAAGAACTGCTCTATTTTCTATCAAAGTAGTAATTATATAACAATAGTTTTGGTCTGAAACTAATTACTCTATATTAAGATTTACACTATATTAAACCCTACATTTTTTCCCACTAATTAAGTGACCATATCCTGTCTGGGGGGGTGGTCTAGAACAAATCACCATGGCCAACTCACTATGGCCAACTTACTGCAGGATAATGTGCTGCGAGACAATTCATTGCTGCATTAATCATTTCGTTCAGTTACTTTTATTATTGGTGATCACGATTTTGTCGAAATTATTATAATATATTTCTGGATTGACACTCTTTATTTTTTTTTATTATTGGCCGTGGTTCTGTCAAAATCAATTCAACTTTTTTATTTGTTGAATTGTCCCACGGTGAGTTGTCCTGTGTGTGAGTTGGCTGCAACAAGTTGGCCATAGTGAGTTGGCCATAGCAAGTTGTCCCATTCCATGTCTGGGGAATTGTCAATGAATGTAGATTTGGCACTAGAAAGAAGGGAGAATACAAGGAAAAGTTAAGTGAGGAGAAATAGCAATTCAGTCCTGGGAAATTACAATGCCTTGATTATTATTTATATATATATGTATAAGATAGAACAGAAATTCTAAGACTCCAAGATTCTACTGTCCTGCCATACAACAATAAAAAGAATCCAAGCTGTTTCTTAACCTGGCCAACTCAAAAGGCTGACTGCAGTGAAGCTTGAAATGACAGTTTAGCCCCGGGCTTCCCAAAAACCACATCTGTAAATATGTTTTACTGCTAATCTGAAGTTACTTATTTAAATGTTCCTGTTGTGGTTGATTAATGAGTGTGTAATTAGCCAAAGAATAACCATTTTTATCCAATTTTACCCTTATTTATCCAGATTTGGGAAACTGGTTTAGCCAAAACACTAAGCACTTTCAGTGAGAAGCAATTTAACCAGGTTGATGTGATGGATGGGCACAAAAAAGTCTCCCAGGCAGTCTTGCATGTATCCAACATCTTATTTACACTGGAACTTCAGTTACATATACAAGTAGTCCTCACTTAACAACCGGTCACTTAGCAACCATTCAAAGTTATGACAGACTCACCAAAAGCTACTTACAACCAGTTCGGGTGTTCCAATGGCTGCAAAATCTCATCCCTCCACAGTCACATGACTGCATTTCAGGTGCTTGGCAACTGTCTCACCTTTACATCCAGTTGCAGCATTCTATAGTCAGGTGAATGTGATTTACCATGTTTTTTTGCCAGTTTCCCCCCACAGGAATACATTGATTCAATTAACAATCATAGAGTTTGATTAATACCCACAGCGCTCGCTTAATAACTGAGGCAAAAAAAGAGTCATAAAATCAGGTCCGGTCAAATGGGTGCCTCAACTCACAATAGTCATGACTTATGACAGAAATTCCAGGCTGTATTAAGTTGTAAGTAGAGGATCTGTATAGTTTTGGCTGCAGTTCCCTAGTATGCTAAGGGGAGGTAGAAATCAGACATTCCAAATTAAACACTGCATAGGTTACTTATTCATGTAATCCCAGCATTCCACCTTCATTTTTCTAATCCTACGTCCAACCATAAGTACAAAGAAACTCACCAGCCAAAGCACACCCAGTGTTTGTAGTGTGCAGGAGCCCAGCTCTAGCATTGCCATCTCAATTAAAGACATCCTGAAGAAAAAGATATATGGCCTTGAGAATTTGATCTATTGTCTATCATGGCTGACAAAAGTGCCATAGATGAGACATAGAGAGGCCTCATCATTATCATCATAATCATCAGAGTTGGAAGGGATCTTGGAGGTCTTCTAGTCCAACTCCCTGCTCAAGCAGGAGACCCTATACCATCCCAGACAAATGGCTGTCCAGTCTCTTCTTAAAAGCTTCCAGTGATGGAACACTCACAACTTTTGAAGGCAAGCCATTTCACTGGTTGATTGTTCTCACTGACAAGAAATTTCTCCTTAGTTCCAGGTTGCTTCTCTGCTTGGTTAGTTTCCATCCATTGCTTCATGTCCTGCTTTCTGGTAATTTGGAAAATAAGTTG